GGACTCAGTCAGAATCAGGTGGGGGCTCAGTGAAAATCCAGAGGGGCGACAGTCAAAATAGGAGGCAGCTCAATCAGATTCTGTGCCCAAGCCACCAAAATAAGGTCCATTTAATAAACATCAGCAGGGCAGCTGTCCCTCCTGCATCTGACTGCTGCAGGTTAGCACCCCTAACCCCCAGCCAGCGTGTCAGAGCAGCCTGGCTGTTTATTTTCTTAGCGCCCCCGTTAGGACCGGCATGCCCTTGCGGCGGCACTCTTATCAGGCTCGGATCAGCCCTCTTTCAGATATCACGCTATCGCTGGGAATCGGCAGTGAATCACCTAAACCCCGAAAATCCCTTGCAGCCACTCAACACTATATTTAAATGAGTCACCACACCTGGGGCTGTGTGGGGCACAGCTGGGGGGTCTTTTGGGGGTAAAGCCTTCCCATCCAACCCCGGCCTCCGGATTCCTCCCGGTGTCAGGGTGTATCTTGGATGGATGGACCGGACATGTGGCTCAGGCAGTATGACAAGGGTGTTTGTCACTTCCTCTCTTTATGGCAAAGGATCAGATGTGAGCGCTGCGCCCCCCTCCCCAGAAGGCCGCACCCCCCGCCCCACGCTGTGACCATCCTGCCTGCTGGACCGCTCACGTCGGGCGCTATTTTTAGTGCTTGCGGAGCTGCCGATGTTGTCACCGCGGCCCGCATTGGGATCCCCGTGCCCCCCCCCCCCTGTTACAGATTGTTTAAACAGTATCCTGAGTGGGGGACGGGTCCCATGACAACCTGACAAATATTTACCCATTCCGCCGTGCTCAGATCTCTCCGAGGCTACCTATTCCGGACGGTTCCCTTCTTTATTGTTGTTTTGCTGGCTTTTGTGTTTCAGCATTTTTTCTTTAGGAGAGCAGAGAGGTTGAAGCGCAGCACAGGGGAGCGGGTGCGGGGGCCCGGTTCGCGTGCTCGGCCGCGTGTGAGAGCGTGTCGCACGGAGGCATGCGGAGCTTGGAAAAGCAGCCAGGAATGTCGAGCTTGGAAAGGCCCCCGTGCAAGTTTAAACGGGAACATGCTTAATAAGCCCCGCTGGCAGCACAGATGTTTGTGCTTCCCGGTCCCACCTTAACCGTCCCACGCATACGGCTGGGAGTCGTCTCTCGGGGTTTGGGCCGGGCTCAGGAGGCTCTGTCCCACCCAGAAACCAGCGTGATTATTAATCCCCCATCAGCCACTGTCCTCTGGCCAGGCTGTACTCGCCAGCTTCACAGTGCTCAGAGACATACGCTTCTCCTGCTGCTGCGCTAATGCTCATTAGTGACCCACCCCCTGCCTCCATTCAGCAGCATTTGGGCTCCCCCCTCTCCTTCGTCTCCCCCATCTTTAATCACATGGCCCTCATGACTCTTTGTGGCCCTGCTCCAGGTGACGGTCACCATAGCGACTGGTGTGTGGCCCGAGCAGCAGCTTAACAAACAGGGAGGAAGAGGAGGAGGTGGGTGAAGAGGATGCTGATCGAAACGGGGACTGGAGGGTCGCTACAAGCCGTGGCGCCCAGGGAGGTCTGGGCAAAACCCCAATTCAGCTAAAAAGAGGCACAATTTCAGCTTTTTGTGAAGCTTTGACTGCATCAGGTCCACAATCAACAGTCAGAAGTCCTGCTAGATGCCATCACTTTACCTTCATATTTTCACATGATAGCAGGAGGTACGTTTGGTGCAGGTGTTTCTACTTACAGACAGTTCTGCAGAATAGAAACTCTCTGGCACCCCCTTGTGACCACAGGTGTACGTTTGCTTTCTGAAAAGACTGAAGAACTTCAATTGGTTCTCATTAAGTATATTGTATGTAGTCTTAGGTGAACCAGTTTCCCACCTTGCTATTGGATTCCATTCAGCAACTGAAACCAGCCTTACACCCTGCAGGTTCTTATTCAGTGGTGTGCAGGGTTACACTAATCCGCTAACTGCTAATTAGCAAAGCTAACTTGTTGTTAGCGGATTAGTGTCTCCACTAATTTTACAAACCTTTAGCGGACCATTTAGCTTATGTTAAATTTAGTTCTTTTAACTTCAATCCACTAACTTTATTTCACAGGTAAAGTGAATAAAGTTTACCAGTCAAAAACATTTGAAACTCATAAAAATCATACAAATTTGTTCCTGTATGTTAAGTGTCTGCAACTTGTAATGTAGTATATTAGCTGTTAGTATAGTTATCGTTTGTCGGTTCAGCAGTACCGAATTAAACTAAACGGTTTAAAAGTTAGTGGTTATCGAAGCTAACTTTTCTGTGCTCACCACTGCTTTAACTGAATCAAACATTTCTTCACAGGCCATAGTGAGTGTGGATGCTGCTATCAGTGGTATTCTGTGTATGGATGAGGTCATCAGTGGTTCTGTGTATGGATGAGGTCATCAGTGGTTCTCTGCATGTGGATGAGGTCATCAGTGGTTCTGTGTATGGATGAGGTCATCAGTGGTTCTCTGCAT